CTCCATATATTCAGCACTGAAAACAGGTTTTATTGCTAGGTTAACGGAATGCATTTATCGTATTAAAACAAAAGAATCGTTTGCACACGCAGACTTGATCAAAACAGCATCTGAGGGCCCGCAGAACCAACACGCAGATCAACACGCGCCAGTGTTATGGTGTCTGCGTGCCCGAAAAACTCACCCGCAGATACACGAGAAAGTTATAGCGGATTTAACTAGTACAATAAATACATAGCAAAATGTTGTCAACTACTATATGGAACACGTTACAGACCCGCTATCATATAGATATGAAAAAGAACACCATATATCATATTTCGATGCAAGTAGGTGTAATCAGGTTTCATCACGATGCGTGGTAATTTATCATTATAATAATACGAGTGTCATGATTTGAGGCTATGACGTTTAGTTTAGTTATTTGCATAATGATATTGATACATTGTATGGAACATCTCGTGAGTATTTAGACTCCAGGTACTACAGCACAACCATATTTTAGAAATGTTTGTTGGTGTTTATGGTTATATATTTAACTTGTTATTATTGAGTTCAAAGTATTTTCAAGTGTATCTCAAAGTTTTTAAAACAGAGTTTTCATCCTCTATAAGGGGAAAGGAATGTAATGATTTGAGGCTATGACGTTTAGTTTAGTTATTTGCATAATGATATTGATACATTGTATGGAACATCTCGTGAGTATTTAGACTCAGTTCCAGGCCTAGCAGTTGAGCAATAAACACCTTGGCTACAAGTGCTCCTCGCCAGTGTGTTATTCCCCTCACATTCATTTCACGAATATTGGCACATGTACAACATCTGTACTACAAAACAAGTAAATTGTCGAATCCAGAGTTTAATATCACTTCTACGTTTTGTAATTGAGATCAATAACACACTGACTATGTGACGATTAGTTTACTGCATTTATTTTTATGTATGCCTCAGCATTTTAACATATTAAAGTTATGCTGAGTCACAGAATGGGGTAAATTTGTTCTAAAAGATCAGTAAATGGATAAAAATATTATAAATTGGATTATCTCAAACAATTGTTATGAAATAGGCACAAGAGTTTAATCTGTCGTTGTCACACGGACGATTTAGTCCATTTTCTATTTAATTAGCGCCAATTATGAAAACTATTTAAAAAAATAAAAATAAATTAGGAATGTAATTCAACTGTAGATCCACACTCATCTGAATGGGGAAATTTACTACAAGTATATGATGACAGTCATCACGAATACGGCTTGGAAATAAAGAAAGAGACAAGTAGAGAAACTGGGTTTTCAGCTTCTTTAAAATCAGAGGGGAAATAAGAAACTTTCACAGCCAAACGATACAATAGGGTAAATATTTGTTGGGAACAGATTTCTGTGATTAACATATTTGGGGATACCATGATATTCTTTATCTTACATTACGTCACCATAGTTTATAGCCTATCACGTTAGTGTAACTTGAGATTTCCCACCAGAATGTAAACTTGTCTCATGTGTGAGTCAAGGCTAACATGAGACAGTAGTCGTCCTTTTCAACTAAGTAACTGACTTGTTATCTGATTCTGTAAAGATCCTATACCCCACAATTAACACAATTCAACTGAATTCGTTGTTTAGTGTTTCGCATAGAACACCTAGCCTGATAAGGTGGCGTAAGTTGCGCACCCGCCGTCCCCCAAGCCCAACAGTGAGGTCTAATTCGTTTCGGTCACCACTCACGCCTACATGTCAGGCTAACGAACACTTAATTACACGAAGAACCTAGAACATTACCCGGGGTATTTGAAACATAATTTTCATAAATACCGTTTGTTGCCCCCCCCCCCGACATACACAAATTTACATATATCATAGCTTGAAATTATGACAAATACTGAATGTCAACTCCTGAAATACACCTAAGTAACATAAGACCAGGAAAAAAATCTCTGTTTCTCGTTTCATGGAAATTTTATATTAATGCGGCGAGGCGATTTTTTTTTTGAATACTGAGCAGCTAACATGGGGGAAATTTTAGACAAGTGCGAGTACAAGCGCATTTTGGAATGCTTAAGAAGGAAAAAAAACGTCCGAGGCGCATAGTTCAAAATGATGCGCGCGGAAACGAAAAACAGAGATATTTTTTTACTCAGCCTAATGTAATTTTTTTTTTTCACACAGAGGAAGTGAAGTTTATATAAGTTGCTCTACTAGTATTGTATTGTATTGTATTGTATTTATTATTTATTATTTATTTATTTATTTATTTATTTATTTATAACATTATTCCAAAATTAATAAATGCGACATTCCTTTCAATAATCGACGTGGCGATTCTTTGAGTTGGACTCGGGTTAAGCTGACTATTTGAATTTAACACTATTTAGGATGGAATCCAACATAACACACTATGTCAGATACTACTTGTATCCGAATGAAAATCTGCAAGTCACTTGACGTGGTCGAGCGTAACTCGAACAATTTAGCATCTCGATTCACTTATGATTTAGCCTACTTGACAAAGATGTTTACATAACAAACACTAATTACTGTACTGATGTGTGAATCATTCGTTTTTGACAAACACTGCTTTGTATGCAAATCAACTTAAATAGTTGGTGTCCAGTGGAGGGAGAAGTCAACAGTACTGTTGCCTCCTGAGAAACTACATCTTCAAACACTGCAATCTCTGAAGTGCGTTTTTAAACTAGTATTATAAAAACTCTATCATTCTGTTCTAATAGCTGAAACATATTCCTGTGAGTTTTCATTTGTCGAATGAACTGTTTGTCAAATACAGAATACATATATTTTAGAATAATTTTCTTTTTAAAATGTGGATGAAATGTTTTGCTTTTAATGTATTTTTTATGTATTGTTTTTGATTTGATAACTTTTGACTAAACAGATTTTCTATTAGCTTCAGATTTTGATCAAAGTTTGGCACCCAGTTCATAGCAGTGCTTATATTGATTTTCTGACATCTTGTTTTCTGTAAAGATTTTATTGGTAGGTTTGCAAATGTGTATCAGACTGTGCAATCTCTCCATGAGTTGGTTTTGAAACCCAGTATGGGATTCTG